GTCAAAGGTCGTAATTTAGTCGGTACCGCTGTTGCAAGATTTAGTCTATTGCAAACCTTGACTTCGAAGTCGATCAGTCGGCCATATTGAAGTTATTGAGAGATAGTAAGGTGTCAAATCGAAATGATGTTCTCTGCAGTAATAAGAGCTGGAGTAGGACAGGTGCACAATTCACGTGTCCACGCGGGGTTCTGAAATCTTGTGAAATGAATAGACGAGAGAGGATGTTGCTCTCACGATGCACAAAGTGGGCTCGCGTTTTCATTGACCACTATTGTGATGCGGCTACTGAGATCACTGACTTAATTACATCACTTTCCTCAAGGGTCAAAACATCAAAATATAAGCCGGCAAAGACATTAAATTCCAAAAAAAATGCAAAGAAAAAACCAAAACTCGCTAGCTAACTAGATACATCGCTTCGCTTAGGCAATCTTCAAAACAAAAAGACCGTACATGTTTACACCCCTCTTCCCCGCCAGGCCTGAAAAACGAGGAAGAGAAACATGAAACAGAAGATATTTCATACAGCCCAACAGCAAGCACTATCCAACAGCCAACCAACACTTCGTCTTGCTGGTTTGCAAAGACATGTTATCCTCCAGAACCAATATTGTTGTCTTGAACAAACCACAGACTGAGGCAGGACTCCTCTAAATCGGACTGCAGCCAATTTAAAGAATGCCGCAGGTGAGGATGTTGATGTTAATGAGAGTGCCCTGGTGTATGACCGTTAGTATCAGTAAAGTCTTAGTCGGGGTGGGGGAAGTGAACTCACGGGAGAACCCTCGACATTGCAGCACTTGACAGCACCGGAGCAAGTGCCACCAACAGCGCCGATGACGCAGCTGAGGATGTTGAGGATGCCGGTGGTGTTGCAGCAGAGCGGCTTCTCATTCTGCTGGGAGCACTCGTTGATGGGAGTGCCACTGCCTCCGCCGCCGGTGCGGGCAACGACGACGTTGTTGTTGGCAACGTCAGCTGCAGGGAGGGCAGCGGCGGTCATGGCGACGGTGAGGATGGTGATGAGGCTGGAGAACTGCATTTTGGCGGTGTTAGAGTCGATTGCTTTTGAGAAAGCTGAAGATTGTGTTGACTGTTTTGAGGGCTGGGCTGGAAGTGCTGGAGACGTTGATGCTGATGATGAGAGAAGTTTGATGTCTAGATGAGGGACGAGGAGGGTGTTTATATACACATCTCGAGGGTAGTTATCGAGCTTACTCAATCATTGAAATCATCATCTGTTCTCGAGTGTCCTTACCCATCCAACTAGCTATCCTGGTCTACAGCCTTCCCTTGAACCTTTGCCTTGAGTGCGATGGCCGGGCTTGACTTGATCGACATTGCATTTTCCTTTCTTGAAATCAGAAAATAGCTTTCAAGTGGATGATTTGTTGTCGTGAAACCAAGAAGCCGAAGAGTTGCAGTTGTGTCCCTGGATAGAGACGGAGGCTTGGCCGAATCTCAAGGGGGTAGCAGAAAGTATCTGGCATACCGCGTCTACCAAAGCCCCAAGCCTGTTGGTACCCTACAACAGTCAGGCAGTGTTACAGGGTTGCTTTTAGATGCACGATGACGATCGCTGACAAGTTCAGCTAGCCAACCTCTAATACCATCATTTCCAACATGAAGCTGAGAAGATACGTCAGTGTCTCTGACTCGCTCTTTGACACTGAGCCCTCCAAGGCCTCCAGAGAGGACTGGAAGCAACGCTGAATCTATCCATAGGTACCTCTATCTCCACCCAATGAGTACCTAGGTACCTACCTAGCGAAACAGTGCTGCTGGGGCGCGTATGAAGACTCGGTCCGAACGCCAACGCTGCAAGGGAAATGGCATGAACACTTGCTTTGACTGAACATCGGTGGACGAAAATGAAAGAGGTCGTTGGATGATACTATTGTGAAATCAAGGGCCCAAATATTTCACTCCTGCTTTTGCTGGCTAGCATCAGGCGAGAATCACCTATTCAGCCATACTGCAACATATCTTAAACCAGTGGTAATGCGCTACTAACTTCACTTAGGAATAAATATCCATAGAGTCTGAGGTTCGGGTGATTGGACTGGCCGCCAGGTCGAGGCTCAGGGGGAAGTGGTGTGGTGGCAAGAACTTGAAAGAGTCGGAATGCGGCCAAGGGGGTCCACGATCATGTACTAGCGTCGTGTTGTGTAGCATTAAGCAACATGATCTGATCTTGACGCTGAGCCTGTGGCAGCAAAAGGTGGTGTCCTCGAGACGGCAGGCGACGGCAAGTCCCCGAGAGGTGCAGGAGCAATAGAGTGTGTCGACCAACCACAAGCGCAGCAACGAAAAACTTTCCACGGTCAGCCCATCTGCAAGTTCGTGGAGCTGCCAATAACACTACACCCCAGCACACCGGAAAATGCGGGGGACGAAGTAGTGCTGCATCGGGCGAACCACTTCCAGAGTGGTGATGTATTGTCAGTATTGACATCTACTTGATCTGAATCCTGGACGTAACTGTAAGACAAATCTTCCATACCACCTAACCGAGACACTATGCACCGTTTTCTGTCCTTCAGGACGCATTACATGCATTCAATGACATGGTCCTCTAAATCAAGGATGAGCGACCAAGTCACAGAAGGAACATTGAAGTTGCTCACTTGCTCACAAAAATAACAGTGCTCTTTCAGCTAGTTGAAAAGCTCCCTTGTTTCAGCTACCTCGGCTCGGAGAGTGCCACCCCTAGACGGGAGCAATGCTGATGTCATCAGGGGAATTTGCTGGCCCAGAGCGATTCATTGACAATGGCTCTTCCCCTTGGACGCAGCGACACAGGATGAAGTACACAACAGAAGTCCCTCCTAGGCCAGATGGTTGGGTCGAAGCAACGAAACATGGAATGCAAAATCAAGGCTTCTCTTCCGATTTTGTGACACAGCATGCCGAATTGCCGTCCAAAACTGTTGAAAGAGCCGCCGGAGGCAAAGACCTGCACACACGCCTCGGGCTTGTTTTCACCAAGTGTCAGGCCAACTGCGCATACAGTCCGACAATTCAATCATGTAAAGGATAACAGACGCCGGACTTCTGGAGCAGCGGCTGCGTTCCCATCGACGACACTGTCAACATAGAACTAGCTGAGCCAAAACTGACAGCTCGGATAGTTCCGCTGCAGGTTATACGGGACAGGACAGGTCAAAGCACCCAACGTTATTGTTCACCGCCAATTGCGTAGCAGTTCAAGTCTGCGAAGACTCTGAAACTACCTACCTTAACAAAGACTTGGAGGCTTGCTTCACAGCTGAACAACTCAAGGATAACAGCACCACTTCCATCTACCCCGGCCCACATCCTATTGACTGGCTCAGACCAAGCCCGAAAATATGCATTAGCTGGCCCATTGCAACATCGGCGGCCGAAAAGTTGTCATCGTACTTGGTCAGACTCAAGCCATCAGCTCAACATGCATTCAGCGAGCGAAGTCGGCTCGCTGTCATGCAACATTGCTGCTCAATATCCGCAAATTGCGCCTCAAAATAACAGGATGTGGACAGATACTTGCAGCCACTTTTCGGTTCACTTTAACCATCCTTTAACCCTCCATATTGTTTTATTCCCCGGCTTTGCCGATCTTTTCTCTTTCAAGCATGATCGACATTCATACACGTTCTCTTCCCCTCCGTTTAGTCCATTGACTTGATCTAGCCTTAAGCTTATCTCAATTATCTTCACCTTGCAGAGAAGCTAGGGCAGGCGGCCAACGGGAAGGATCCGGCTTGGAGGGGTGGAGGGGCAGGCCTGAACATGATCTTGCCGCCTCAAAATTTGGGATACTGTTGAGTATCGGGTCATGGGCAAGCTGGCATGTCTGGGCTTCGACCCTTCTGGCATCAGACCACTCATTCATCCACCCTCAGTCAATCTGCTGACATGCTGGCACCACAGGTCATCGTTCTTCACTAATCCGAAACCGGTCCAATGATGTCAACATGCGCCAGACGTGCCGTTTTCATGACTGCCTCTCACTTAGCCTTCATTACCCAACGTCGCTAGCATTCTCTCATCCTGTGCGCTTCCGAGCACCTAAGCTCAAACAATCCGTTCGTGGGGATTCCGAGACCTGCCTCGGCGGGGAGGGCACAAAGGTCGCCCAGCTTTAACTATTTGGTAATGGTTGAAGACAACCGAGACTATGAGGACAAAGATCGCCAGACCACCGCTCGATCGTATCTCAGATCTTGCTGTGATAGCCAATGGAGATACTAAGCATGTCCCAGCGAAGGCAATCTTTGCGGACACCCCCACCTAAACGAGACGTCCTCTCAAAGCTTGAGAGTTGAACGGCATGCATGGTTGATCATCAACACTTTTGGAATAGTGGTTGCCATACTGACTTGCATGAGCCATCAACACAGTGGCCTCAGGCATCTTCGAACTAAACTGAGGTCACGATGGTAGCAAACAAGGAACAGCTATGTCCTTTCGACAGTACCTCTCCAGACAGTTGTCCGAGGCCTATCCCGTCTGTTCCCTTGCCTGGGTGTTGGGGGTCAATCGATGCCCCGGCCATAAGTTACTCAGTGGTTTGTAGTCTCTCTTGTTCCTCAAGGACTGCGTCAACTTATCAAGGCTGACTAGAAGCAATTCAACTAAAGGCTTCCTCGACATGTGGACGTTGATGTATGTCCACATCAAAACCTTCTTAGACAAACCTTGATCACCGAACGACAGTGTTTGAGCAATTGGTCGGCAAACAGCTGACAGCGACAGGCCTCTTCCCTCACCCTCGAGCATGTCAGATTCGGCTCTTGTCAACCTACATACAACCTCAAGAAAGTCATTGTATCGCCAACTCGCCAGGGCAAATTCACTTGGAGTCTCACCTTTTCAAAGACTCGTTGTTTGTGGGGTATGACATGATTCAGGAATGTGGAGCAAGGATGATTTACCATTCAACGGAAGGTAGGCCAACCCTGAAAACTGCTTGAACAATATCTCCGTGGCCGCTACAACACCACACAATGGTTCAAGGTTCTATAGTGTAGCGGTCAGCACTTCGGATTCTGATTATCAGAGCATTCCGGCAACCCCGGTTCGAGTCCGGGTAGGACCTTAATACCAGCATTTCTTGTTGTAAACTCTGTTTTCTTTTTTGACTGCGCAAGCCAACAACGGGTCTGCAGGTTATTTGCTTTTATCTTCCAAGCTGATAACGAAACGCTTGGCTGCCCAGAACACTCTTTGCAACTTTGATAGGCATGGAAACAACAAAACTATCTCTGTCCCACGCTACCATGGCTCGAATTCAACGGCAAGCCACAGAAAGAGTGGAACTATAAGTGAGGTTCACGGCCCTAAAAGCGCCGTCAACTTCACCTTTTCTTTTACCACCTGGAAGGCTGGAACCTTGCGCCTGAGTTTTCTCGCACAAGGACCACCCAAAAGAAACTGTCCCACACATGCTTCAATAGCCAAATTACCACAAAAAAACTTTTAACGGATACAGCTGAAGGCAAATCCTCATCGCCCGGCTAGCTCAATCGGTAGAGCGTGAGACTCTTAAGGAGTTCCTCCGTCAAATTATCTCAAGGTTGTGGGTTCGACCCCCACGTCGGGCTCAATTCCCGGCATTCAAATTTGCCATTCTTTTTATTGGGCTGTGTTCCATGTGTTCTTTTCGCTTCCCTGGAGAGATTTTGCTGGGGTGGTCCTTGAAACGTCACCCAGACTGTCACGAAGTTGATTCTAGACTTTGGATATCTACATGATACTTAGGCATCCTATCAGGTTGCAATGTACCTAAAACTGTTATTGCCGAGACATGGATTTTCCTCTCTTGCGTACCTATTAGATCGTAACAAGTGGGGCGTTCATTGATATCAAAACAGTACTTTCCTGTCATCTCTGAGATATCTGAATTTTTTGATGACTTATCTGTGGTGAGATGTGTGTCAGTCAAAAGGATCAGGGTCGAGGGTCTTTTGGTGGTTGCACTGCATGAGATATGTCTCGGCTCTTGGCATTTTTGATCCTACACACCGCACTGTATTAATCACTCGGTGAGATGGGGGCCTTTTTTCTCTTGTGTTACGGAGGCTTTCGTGATGACACCTTGAGGTGCGATATTTCGGAAGGGGCTTTGGACCTTACATTATGCCTATCTGAAGGGGCAAAAGAGACATGTCTGATGGATCAGAACTTGGACTGGCGAAGTCTTGATGCTAGCTTTGACTTGTGGGATGGGTTGGATGGTCTTGCAGTGAAATGAAGAAGAAAATCCTCGACCTTTCTAGCATTTACACAATCATGACAGCGAGTCCTTGACAACCTTGATTAAAAAATATGCAGATGAGGGTTGTTGATTAAGTCACCTGTGTCAGACTGGGTCCGTCAGTGCTCATATTGCCTGAGAGATTGAGTCCGCCCACACACAAACAGGCAAGAGCAGGCGTCCATCGTGAGAAGCCTGTTTCGCATCGAGAATGAGAGTGATGGCCAATCTTCCGAATGGGCATGATCTGATAAACATTGGCTCTTATTTGTTCAACGAAAGCCTGACTGAGGCTCAGGGTAAAATGCATGTGTGGAGGGCAAGCAAAATCTCAACAAACTTCAGTGAGAGCTATCGGCAAAAGTCTCAACACCATTTTGAATCTCAACAAGTAACCCAAGCCCGCATGGCTCAGTGGTAGAGCGCATCACTAGTAATGATGAGGTCGTCAGTTCGATTCTGGCTGTGGGCATCCGAATATTTTTTTTCGGTTTCATTTCGCTTTTGCTCTCCATTTCTTTCTTTGCAAATCGTGGTTCCCAAAACATCAGGCCACATTTTATTTTCCCCCCAATTTAGCGCTTGTTGCGCGAGCAGTTGACCCGAATCAGTGGGTCCCTCCCCGATTGATAAGTGTGGCTTGCCAAGCGACCACTAGTTTGGTCAGAATTGGTTCGCTGCGGGGAGCTTGGGCCTCTCCGAAGCACAGTGCAAGAAGACGGAAACAACGCTAACCCTTTGTGGATATCCACCTCACCTGGACCTCACAACCCAACCACAACTCCACAGTGGCTCCTTTTTTTCTGGACCTGGTTGGAGCTGGCCTTTTTGGATTTGGTGCCATTTCGCTTTACAAAAGACTCAAATAAGAAGTCAGATGAGTGGCGCATCGAGACCACACGGGCACCGCAATAACTAAGAAGAGCGGCGCTAAAGGCTGCAGGTGTTGAACGTCTTCCCGTCCTTCCCTTTCGCCAGGCTCCTCTCTCATACGATCATTGTCAGCGCCCACTCTATGGAGGTGAAGGAAGAGCATTCCAACGACCACTTCAACACATTCAAAAAACATACAACCAAACCAGAAAGACAACAATGTCGTCACCAACGTCCAATAGCCCGTTAAGAAGCGGGATGGAGACCCCGCCTACGCCTCATCCTATCTCGGACGAGGTCCTGCGCGCCGTTTACGCATCTGATCAGGAAATGTACCCCGCCGGACTGTCGTATGACAGACTCTGCAGCTGGGTGGCGGCCTGTCCCGAAATGTCGATTTGCTGGTCATCATCCAAGACGGGAGTGCTCGGGGTGGTTATTGTCTTGCCCATGTTGAGAGAGTACTGGGAGGACTTGCTGGTTGGAAAGCTCAAGGAACCAGGAGTCGACGCAGAAATCATGTTTCCCCATGACGGCAAGGAGAAGCAACAAACGGAAAATGTGGTGGCAGGGGCTAGAAAAATTGGCAACGGCAGGACACCAAAGGGAAGAATATCTGACACACAGGAGAAGAAGGAGCAGCAGGAAGTCGGACTGCATGTTTATCACATCGAGCGGTTAGCTGTCGAGCCACCCACGGCGAAGCAGAAGAGGTTTTCAGAGATTGCTATGGAGGAGGTTACAAGAAGGTCCGCGGAGAAAAAGGGGTGGAAGGTTGTTGGGTTATCTGGTATGTTCTTTTCCCCCGCTCATGATTTGGGTGATAATACTGACGTAATACAAACAGCCCTCACCGCTACCGATGGTGGAAAAAGGACATTTCAGCGCCTAGGCTTCAAAAACACCGGCTATAGGGAGCTCTTTGTCACCAAGGTAATACGTCGCCCTTCCTACGCTGCCATTGGCGTCGGCAATAGCCCCAGCATTCCCGAGGAGGCGGTTGACGAGCCTGAGGAGCTAGACATGCTCTATATCTATCCGGAAGATGGAGCTGGGGGCAAGAGCGTCAGTGAGATCATTGGGTATGGCCGGACAGTAGTTTCCATGTCTGAGATGACGGTCAAACGCGTTAGCCAGGCGGAAGAGGAGCAGCCGTGTCCCTTTGTGTTAAGTAATGGGAATGGCTGTGCATTGTCGCTATCGAGTTCCATCTGAAAATTTGATACTGAATAGCAGTGCACAGCCGGGGAGAAATAAATGAAGGAACATCTCAACTCAACCCATCTATCCCATCTCAACTCCTCTCCGCTTAGCCGGAGTTAACCCCGTGAAGTTAGTACTGACAATCCGGGAAGATCCAAGGCGAGAAACCTCTAGCGTGCGGAGACAAAAGACATCTTGTCTCGGTTCACAGCTACCGGTATCACCGCGTCTCCGGGCCGTCTGCATACAACCTTGCGATTTGGTGTCTATGTCCCCCAAAAGGGGAAAACATGCGGAGGTGGAAAGACAATGTTGATTGTGTCTTGGGCACAACCTCGGTTTTCAGCCCAAACCAGGAGGACATCAAGGCACTGCAGCGCGGGTAGGTCTGACGGAGAGAGCCGACCTGGTTCACGATGACCACTTGTAATTCAGCATCTCAACACGGCAACTGCCGTGCATCAATCAATAGGCCAACCAGGCCACCGAGCCTCGTACTCTCTCTAAAGCACATTGCAAAGACTCTAGCCAAATGTTGCAATCGGTGGTCATGATGTTGTGATGTGGAGACAGGATCAATAATATTGTTTTTCAGTTACACGAATCTGTCTCTAATCGGTCTTTGTGTGAGTCGTGGTTGTCATGGATTGATGGTTCAAATTCAGTCTATCCGACGAAGTTGTGATTAGAAACAGTTGTCGGATAGGAGGTTGGCGGCCTCAAGCTCAGGTATAAATACCCCCTCTAGTTCTCTAACTCGAGCTAAAATCATTCATCAACATCCTTCTCCAACAATCTACCAAAGTCCAAAACAACCCTCAGGCCAACCACCACCCAGCTGTCAAAATGAAGTTTACCACCACCGCCATTCTCACCACTCTCCTCACCAGCGCCACCGCCCTCCCCTGGTCTTTCAAGAGCACCCCCAATGGCAAGTACTCTGAGGAGATTACGTAAGTTGTTTTCTTCTACTTTTCAGACCTTCAGCAAGATATTTTAACAATGACAATCACCCCACGGCTCTACCCGCGGCCTGGCGAGCACATCCCCAATTCGAGCCTTTTGCTAACACCTATATAATCCTCAAAACAGCTTGCACCTAACCCTTGACAAGCCCACCAACCGCCTCCACAACTCCACCCCGACCAAGTCCGAGGAGATGAAGATGATCATGGGGCTCACTGACATCTGTCTCCGCGTCTGCTGGCCCGAGCAGCCTCAGTGCCCCTCGAGCTGGGTAAGCCAGTTAACTCCCTTGTTCCATCATTCCACCAGGGACACCGTATTAATCTTTTCCATTTGGTCAGGATCCCAAGAACCTCGGCACCGACGACGAACCGTGCTGGACCTGCTGCCGCAATCCTAATGATGACCTTTGAGCAATCTCTAGCTACTGGTCGCCGAGTGGATCTACTCCCAACTGTGGTTGACTGGCTGGGTAAGCTCATGATGGCTTTTTGGATTGTCTGGTAGTTGCATTCCATGAAGAGAACGAGGTTGGAATCACACTCATTTAATGGGGGTCTTTTCCCGGAATGATGAAGGTTACCTTATGAAGAGGGGTTGAATGATCGAGATTAACACGGAGAAAAAGCGGGAAATAAAATTGAAACTTTGTTTCTACAGCTAATCTTATATCGGTACGAGCGTGAGTGAAACTGGTGATTTTTTGCGGATTGTCTTGGAGTTTGGCTGTTTTGAAAGAGAGTAAGTAGTAACCCGATTTGGTCAACTCGCTCATTCACATAAGTCCGTATTGATGATGGTGATGAAACAAAAGAAAATAAGAGAAAGCTAAAAAGAATCTCTCAAAACGATAAAGGAAGGATTGCAAGTGTGACAAAATAATATAATGGGATGCCCAATAACAGGATTGAACTGTTGACCTTCGCATTACTATATGCTGGTTGCCCAGTATTAGTACGACGCTCTAACCAGCTGAGCTAATCGGGCCGATGTGGAGACCGTTGTTACGATGTTTGAATTAAGTACTTATAATAATAAACTATTATGAACCCTTTTTCTTGGAATGCGCTGTTCCTTTTGTTGCTTATATCTGCTGAGCGCTTGTCGAGGAACCATGTGTAACGGGCTGAGCCCTGGCATGGACTTCGGCAGCCCTCGGTCTAGATGAAGCCATTCCCAGAACATACACGCACAGACCACAACTCCAGAACATTCTATCACCGCGCACTGGCCAACACGCTCAGTCATATCAGAGGCTCATGTTGAAATACAGCACTCATTCATGGGTTTTACAGTATATTCTCGTCTGTGGTCCCGAGCCCCCACAACGGTCGCACTGACCTATGACCCGGAACCCTGGAAACCACGGGCATCGTCGATGGTCCGGAACCCGGCGGTGAGGGAATTGGAGGAAGCAAATACGAGGTCAGGATGTCCATAAAAGGCTCCCCTCGCAGTGTGTTTGAAGTGTTCTTTTTCTCTCCTCTAAGACAAGTCAAGTTAACAGTCAATGTCAATATAACGTGCGTGATAAGCGAGCGGCGAATATAAGCGAGCGGCGAATTTTCTACGCAACACAACTCCTTTACCTTTGACACTTAATTCTACCACA